CCCCCCCCCCCCCCCCCCCCCCCCCCCTCCGTCAAAGTGTAGTCTCAATAGACTGTAGAACAGCTCATCATATGAGCTGTGGGTACTCGACGGTGCATTGCGGCCTTATATTGCAATCGTTTATTATACACTTCATCATATGAACTGTGTGCACTCGTCGGTGCAATTCTGATTTTTATGTACATCGTCACATGTACTTTCCTGTGTACTGCTACATGTATTGTTAGTCTGTTTTATGTATGCAGGCTCTCTAATAGGTTGCTGCCGATTAAATCTACTGTCTATAATTTCTGGCAACATGGAGTCTTCCTAAAACCTTTTCAGTTTTTGCTCCATTTCTGTTGCCCAGAATCTGTCGTCTCTTTGTACTTTTGTAATTTTTATTCCTTTCTTTGTCCATAAACAGAATAGACCACATTGTCTATTCGTTATGTGCAACTGTCCTTGCACTTGATAATAGTAGTGATGAATTTTATTCATTTCATCACCCCGGAAAATACGTCGTATTGCAGGAAGTTGCTCTATTGCTTCAGCAGACGATAAATCCTTCGCCGATTCAGGGCATTTCACTTCGACGATAGTATCATCGTCCACGAGGCCGTCAGGAGTTGCACCTAAATAAGGCACAACGGCATCGATGAATAAACCACACGGTAGAATTTGGATTCCCAGTTCCGTTTCCAATTGTCTCAAGGCATTTGCCTCGTTCTCTCTTCCGTATTCAAGGGAACGCAAATATTGAACTTGCGGATACATTATACTCTTTATCGTATTTCCTCTTGGTGTATTCTTTCTCAATCGGCATACCTTGCCGAAATGTGATGCAGTTAATAATTTTTTACGGTAGGCTATCCATTTTTCGCTCTTGGCCTGATCGCGAGTTTCTGCTTCAATTTTATGTCTCATCGTTTGCCACTGAAAGAGTGTAAGCATGTGCCTCTCACACTCAGAAGAGAATACTGCTTCTTCCATATCTGGTTTTTCTGCCGTGGGGCCGTAATCTTTGTCGCACGCAGACGTAAGCTTTGTCGCTCTGCTGAGCAGCAGAGACTCTACCCTGATACGAGCCTTCGCGTCCAAAGTTTATTCTTTTGCCACTGATGAATTTCGCAATTATGTTATTGAAATTTTCCACTGCATTATTAATTAATCCATATAACAAGCTTTCAGCTTGAGGAAAGAGCGGTGCATCGCTTCTTCAGCGCTTTGATAAATACTCTATTCTTTCAATTGTGGAACATAGTTCACTCTGTTCGGGTCAGAGTATTTGTTGGAGAAGTATGCTAGTCGCTGACACTCCTGATGTTCACCGAAAACATGACTCGCTACATTTTTCATATCTGTTTTTATATTTTTTATTTGATCAGCGAGTGTTACTTTCTCTTTGAATCAGTATTCTGCAGCTTTCTTCACACCAGTGCGCAGGCGAAGGGCATTCTCTTTTACAATAGCTCGTAGTTCCTTGAAGCGGCCTTTCGTGGCGATCTCATTTATTTTTCTACTAAAGTTGCGTAGCAGGTGATTGGTACATTTAATTTTTCGTACATGCACCATATACTCTTTGTATGGATCATTGTCCAATATCTTTTTGTACACACTGCTATCTCCATCGGCAACTAATATTGAATATATCAGGCCGTGCATTTCTATGCTGCATTTAAATCCGTCTACAATAGCAGCACTTTCCATACCAGTTGAATTCTGGTTACGACCCCAATTTTTGAAGCAACAATGCTGCTGTGCCTCTTCCTTCTTCTTGGCAGCGCTTTGGCAAATTATACAAAATTTATTTTTTACATTGATGTAAAGCACCTTTTTGGTGTGGTATCCCACGAGGACTCCTACACCAGACAGAGAGTTGTAATCACCTCCACGGTATGATCTCTTCATCCAGCTGCCATCTGCGACAACTGGAATGCATGGTATATTACAGCCTGGAAGCATATCGCCTCTTGCTATGGCTAGCTCTTTTTCTAATTTCCCTGTGTCTTCTATTTCTCGTTGCCCAGCCAATTCGAACGCATCGATTATTTCATCTTGACATTTTTCGTAAATTCTCTTGCTCATGCAGGACACGTTCATGCCAGAAAGTATTTCTTCTAGTTAATTGTATCCGCCGCCTGTCATCATTGTACCGGAATCAGCGCTGCGGTTGATGTCCATTGTGTTATCACTGTTCTGAAGGCACGATACGCACTCAACGTGATTACACATTTGGCATTTTACTTTATACTTTTTTTCAAATCCGTTTTGTTGACATCCAATTATTTGGAAGTGTTCGACGCTACAGCCGATACTTGAATGTTTTCCAAGCTGTATTATTTGCTTGAAAACATGTTGAAAATCGACGAAATCTCTCCCGTTAGAAACTGGTTTTTCTTCTAACTGCGGTGGTTCTGCTGTTTCTATCAATGCGTAATCTTCTAAATCAGATTCAATTTCTTCCACGTTTTCTTCATACGCTTCAATTTCTTCCATGTTTTCTTCATACGCTTCCACGGTCGAAAAATCATTCGCAGCAGGCGAGTGTGGAAGCATCTCATAACAGGTGGAAGGTTCTTCAATCACAGAAAAATCGTCAGCAGTAGGCGAGTGTGGCAGCATCTCATAAGAAGTGGAAGGTTCTTCAATCGCAGAATAATCAGTCGCAACAGGCGAGTGTCAGAGCATTTCGGAAGAGCTGGAACCTGCATCGTCTACGGTACAGGTGCTCTGACCTACCACGAGGTACGCTGCCTTCTTCAAACGTCGCCTAAGTAGAAATAACACACACACACATGCAGGTACCAAATAAAAACAATTGCTTATTACGGAAGGCAGGACTATTCAAACGTTACGGCGACCGAATAAGTGTGTAGTTGAACGAATGAGGCGAGTGTGCATGAAAGAGAGAGAGAGAGAGAAGGAAACCGAAGCGTTCAAATGTTCGAGTACCTTGATCGCAGCTGATAGCTTGATCGCGCCGGGTAATCCGACACATTAGAGTCATACAGGATTGCCTCGAAATAAGCAAGTGGCTGGAGACAGAACAGTTGCTTATTTCTAAGCAGGTATGCTATTCGGCTCAACTTTATTCTCGAAACGGGACGATAAAGAACACGAGAAACGAGTGAGAGATCCGAGATAGCGGAAAATCATAAAGTGATCGGCCGAGCAGCGATGTTATTTTTTTAACAAGGATAGAATATAGCATGCCCTCTCATTCTCGCACTATGCGTTTTCGAAGGCATGTAGAAGCACATGAACGAAACATGCTCCAATTTACTAATTGCGTGTTACACTCCCTCTTATTTCTTTTGACGACTGGGCACATCTGTGTACGAATGTTATATAATTATTGCTAGGTTTTAAATAATACACAGGACACGTAATTACAAATATTCAAAATGTTCCCTAAATTATTGATCTACATAAATGGATATATAATATACGAAAAGATGTTTTAAATGCCACTCTTGAAGAAATAAAGAAAATTTAATTGTAAAACTCTTTTTCACTGGCGCATCGACAAGGAGTTTTGTATATTTTGTATATTGTTATTACTCGCAGTACAGTAATTCCTCCGAGATTGCGACTGTGGTCGGAATCGAAATGTTGCAATTACGGTAGAGGAGACTCGAAATTCTATGACTGGGCGGCAAGACTCTATCGCCGCGGCTCGCCTTTGCAGTAAAAGAGGATCGTAAAAAAGAAGGATAGCATGATAGGCTCGGAACACATCAGAATAGCTAATACTAGAATGAGAAAACATATTCCATCGTTCTTCTACTAATTGCCGTCACCCAAACAAAACATCGGCTTCTCCCTTTTACAGACCTCTTTTCTAAAGGAGAAGGATGGAGTGAGAGCCGGAGCAGCGTAAAATTGCCAATGTTTCAATCGACCAGGGCCGTACTGTTGAAAATTTTCACGTGACAATTCAGTCGAAACATGATATACGTCGGATTATTTATAACACAGCTCGGTAGGATTTGCACTTTTCAGCTGATTTTCAGCTGGCTATGCCTACCACTATTCCCCTTGCTGCGACGTTCAGCACGCAGCCTACGAACCGTTCTAGGCTCAGGAGCGTATCACTTGTAAACGTATGCTGGCAATAGCTTCCACCTCACCCACGAGGTACTATTGTTGATGCGTTTTTTTTTAAGTGGTTGCCAGCATACGTTTACGAATGATACGCTCTTGAGCCTTGAATGGTTCGTACGCTGCGCGCTGAACGTCGCGGCAAGGGGAATAGCGGTTGGCGGAGCAAGCTGAAAATAGGCTGAAAAGTGGAATTCTTGCCCAGCTCTGATTTATAACAATCCGAGTTTGTAAGAAACGATAATTTATAACAGACATTGTAACCGTAACAATGATAAAAAAAACGTGGGCATCGCGGGACGGCCGATAAGAGCGAAGCTCAGGTCATAATGCGTAAATTTACAGTTTAGAATTGATTTAGTAATTTCATGGTATAATATTGAAAATGAAAATAAAATGGTCAATATTAGAGAAATGATATTTATTACTATAAATAAATACGGCGAGATCGTCTTTTGTCGCGAACGTTCTCGTACGCACGATCGACGCGAAATGGTAAGCGCCGAACGCGCAAAAGAGAGCTCCAATATAAAAAATGAAAGAAGGGAGAGAATGAGAGAAGGAATATGTAATATTGTATTACATATTATAAAATACCATGATATTACTGCATCGAAAAATAATGACTTCATGCCAATCTATAATATAAAACATAACTTACCTTTCTTGCCGTTTCTTATTTTTAGATACACGCTTTGCAAATATGGTATAACTCCGATTTTTCTTATTCCCTTTCAAATCCATTCTGCTTCTTGCATTTTCACTTTCTTCTTTTCGTTCCATATTCACACAATTAGCACAATAATGTATAAAAATGAAATAGTTCAAAAGTTATAAATTATACACAACAAATGAAAACTCTATTGAAAACTATTGGAAATAGGTGGTGAAACAAAAAATAAAAATAGAAGAAAATACTTTAAATAAAACCTTTATTTAAGCACGTGGAAGGACACGTCCGTACAGCTCGAAAGAAACAGTCAGACTACAAACAGGTCAGTGACGAAGAATTCGTCACGTACCCATAGACTCTATCGGTCCTATTCGTTGTCTAAATAAGCCAAGAAGGGACACAGCTGCACCCTCTTGACTTGTGCCTCGAAAAAGAAACTTAATACGTACGTCGATGGTTTTTGTAAAAGAATGAAAAACTTTCTCTTCTTAAAAGAGAAAAACCAACAAAAACTCTATTGCTTTCTTGCGCGTGTTCAACCTTGTGCGGAAAAAAAAGAAAATCAGAGAGAGCATCAGAAATCCAAGATGGTAAGTACCTTCAAGACGCACATACATTCGTGTCTTCCTTATTTTATGAAATAAGAAGTTTATACTATTTACTGTGCATATTTTTAGGATAAAATGGAATGCTCAACAGCCGTGAGGCAAAACGATAAAGAAGAAAGAGAAATGGGAGATAATCACGTAAGTACCTTCACACTCACTATCGCTATCACTTTTATTCTTCTAATTGTGTGAATTGCGATTAGTTACAGTTAGATGAAAAGTCGCGATTTTCGGAAATTTTAATTACTTACCGATCTCGATGAAATTTTTAGCATACACATAACTTATCTGAATTTACAAAAGACATATTTTAGATTTTCATTATAGACTCACATAAAAAAATTGAAAAATTACCATTCACTATTTTTTTTCACGAATTCGACAAATTGTTATTTTTTAAAACGATAGAAATACATATTTTAGTGAATTCTATCACTACACATTCGTGTCTTCCTTACTGTATGAAATAAGAAATTAATTTACTATACGTATGTTTAGGAAGAAATAAACAGAGGAGGAGGAAGCAGCAATGAAAAAAATAAAGAACGAGTAGAAAAAGCAGAAGAATATAAAAAAGAAGTAAGTATACACGTATAATTGCGATTTCT